TATTAGTTTAATCAAGGACAAGATGATTAAGTTGCTGACATGCTTGTCAATATGAGAGTGCATACTTTGCAGGGGTTTAGCATGCTGACTCTGATTTTGCCGGGTATAATAGTGATTTGAAATCTGTATCAGTATATATCTTAATGGGGAAATTATTATGTGCGGACACCGGACGGTGAGAACCGTATGGATTTGTTGCACTTTTATTGAGTATTTGCTGCGCTTTTGCAAAAACTCAGTGAAAATACACAAATATTCAATTATGAATGAGCTTTTATGGAGTATTTGTTGTGCTTTTGCAAATACTCGGTAAAAGCGCAGCAAATATTTAATTATTTAGTAAATATTCAGTAAAAGCGTAGCAAATACTTAATAAATACTCATTAAATATTCATAATTGAATATTTGCTACACTTTTATCGATTATTTGCAAAAACACAGCAAAAGCGTAGCAAATCCGGAAGGTCCTCACTGTCCGGTGTTCGCACAAAATAAGTTCTCATCTTAATGATGGCTACATGAACTTTATATTCGAAGAGTGAAGCAATAGGTTTCGTTAGGGACGATTTTTTTATTACTTCTTAAAGTAGCTTTCTAGCAGGAAAATTAAAATTGTTTACTAAAAAACTATTTTAAGAATGAAACAATAAAAAAACCGCCCCAAATGAAGCCTTAGTTCATGAACTTCTATGGAGCTTCTACTCTAGCTATGTGGCTAAGGAACTTGATCTCTAGATTGCGAATTGCTGATTTCATAGCCAAACCAGTAAAATTTTATTGTGACAGTACAGCTACAATATTCTCTCATAAAAACAAGAGAAGCTCAAGCAATTATAAACATACTGAAATAAAGTTTCTTTCTATTAGACTTAGGTAGAGCTGGTGATATTGAGATCATCCATGTCGATACCAACAATATTTTTGCTGACCACCTTATAAATCTCATTATTTTGAATCATAAAGTTAGTTCTATGAGATTTGGTAAACTATAATTACTCTTGCATGTAATGGGATTTGATCTTATAGGTTGCAACACCCCAAGTTTGAATTGAATTGAGATCGGATCGAGCTAGTCGAATCAAGCTCATCTGGTGATTGGATCTAATGACTTTGAGTTGATCATGAGTCGACACTGAACCGCTTGGGCCAAGTCAATCTAGTGGTACTGTTTGAATCACTTTGTCAAAAGCTTTATGTCGTCCGGCAAACATTCTCCTCAAGTCACTTATCAGCTTGCCCTGGAGTATATTGAAGTCGTCTAAGGCTTCGTTTGAGACAATTTTTTTGTTGCTTTCTAAAATAGTTTTCTAGTGCAAAAATTTCTTGACTAGAAAGCTGTTTTAGAAAAAAATACAAAAGCTATCCCAAACGAATACTAATACATGAAGTTTTTTAGAGAGGAGAAATCACAAGGAAAAGGTCTCCAAGAACACGTTTCGTTTGGGATGACTTTTTTACTTTTTCTTAAAGTGGCATTTTAGTACAAAATTTTTAATTTTTTTACTAAAAAATTGATTTAAGAAATAGTAATAAAACCGTCCCAAACGAAGCTTTACCCTGAACTTTGAACTTCTGAAGAATTGCTATATTTCAAGACCACTAATAGAAATTGCTCTCATACATTTTTCAACATTGACCTAAATTATATTAAAAAAACCCCTTATTCTTTTTGAGTCATAACAATTTTTTAAACTTTTTTAAATTTATGGATTAATTTAATCCTTATCTCCCACTAATACACTACAGGAAAAACATCCATTATCGACGAATTTTTTAGGCAGAAATAAGTTATTTTACTGCGAAAATTATAATTTTCGGTGATTTTCCGACGAAATTTTTTTTTCTACCGGTATAAATCGCGTAGAAAACACGTACCAACAGATTTTTTTCCGCCAAAAATAATTTCCGGAGGCTTGCTAGCAGTTTTCCGACAAATTTACGTTGTGTTTCTAGTGGCGGTTGAGGAGCGGCTTATGTAGGAATTGCCCCTAGAAATTACGAGCAGTTTAACTGCCAGTAAAGTCAGGCGCATAAACCACCGAAGAACCGCTAAAATTTTTTGACTGTTTACCTATTTATTATGGCGACTTAAGATATCATCTGATATTGACGTTTCCGACGGCTAGGCGGCCGGTAAGTCACCCTAAATCCTGTAGGAATTTTAAAAAAAATGACAGCTAGCTCTCTGTCCACACACATTTCTATATTTTGTACCTTCAACGACTGAATATAAAAAGCACAAAATAAATTCCGTTAACACAATATTCATAATCAACATAGTCTAAAACATTTGAAAACATAAAATAAATGAAATAAACAAACTTTCAAACATAATAAAATATAAATATTAATATAAAGAACTTTTAAAACATAAAATTCAACTATAAGAAAGAGTTCACATCAATGTTCTCAAATAAAAACTTGTTCTTCAAACACCAACAACAAATTCAACATTATCTAATCATCTTCAGTGTCCTTACTGCCCTGTGATTCATGCGCATGCTTCTGCACTTTTTTCTTCTGATTTTCAGCTCGATATGATTACAGTTCCGCTTGCATCTCAGCCTGAATCTATCTCATATCCTCTATCTCTCTTGTCAGAGCAGCAACCCTATGGCTGGCGTTTTCTTCAACTCCAGTAGCATCATAAAATGATGAGGTGGATGTACTACTCTCAATAGCATATCCTTGAGAACCTAAGCTATATATAAACTCTCCCCTTTTAGATGCACCTTAGGTGTTTAGGCTTTTAAGTTGAACCCCAAGTTGTCCAAGAAGCATTGTAAGATCTAGATGCATCTTAGGTGTTTAGTCTTTTTAAGTGAACACTCTCTTGAGGGCTTAATGATCTTATGCTATTAAGATAATTGACTAGGCATGCAAAGTTGAGTCACTAGTTGGTACAACTACACAAGCAGATAGGATTGCCTACAACATGCCATTTATCCAAGTCTAACTTATAAAAAATTTATAGTTGATGCTAATATTTTTTATAGTTTGAATGTCCTCCAATATTTGAAAAAATTAAATTAAAAGGCATAAATAAAAAAAAATGTAGAAAGGAAGAAGAGGAAGGAAAGAGAGGAGATCATCTGCGGCGGCTTGGGAGATGAGGTGGATTAATGGCATCAGCGATGGTAGGAGACGACGAGAGGGGTCTCAGCTTTCTCTAGGACGGAGATGCGATAAAATGAGGAAAAAAGAACAAGTCGGGTGAAATAGGGCTCCTACCAACGATTTTTCCTGCTGCCAAAGATGCCGAAAAAAATTACTTAAAACTTGCAGTCAAGCCACCGGAAGTTGTGTCAAACTTAAGTATAACTAACGGAATTTCAAGTGGGTATGTGACCGCAGTAAATTCCGGCGGCTATACCGCCGGTAAATAATAGCGGTTAATATGACGGTTTATTGCCAGAATTTCCAGTGGTCTCATAGCTGCATGAAATTCCGCCGGATAAAATTAGGTTGGGTTTTGTCAAACTTAATTAAAAATAATCCAAACCTTCAATCTACTCTTCTGATCAATTAATGCTTGACTTCATTAAGTCTTGTGATCATTAACCTTAGATGATTTCTTGTGGAATCAGCAGCTTAAACACTCCAATACTTTGAACAAATCTCATATACATAATTTATTTTTTCCCTATTTTTTAATGAAAGTTTAATATTTACACTGAAGAAAATTCCAAAAAAAGTGGCAAAACTGGGATTTATTATAGTATCCATTGCTTAACAAAAGGCTATTTGGAATTCTGTACAACTGATTTTTTCTTGTCGTGAAAGCTAAGACTTTAGGATTAATTTGGCTAATTAATCAAGTTTGGGCTTAATATTTGTTAATTAGAGTCGGCTCAAAGAGGTTTAATATAATAATTAATGAGGCTATTAAGGAAGCATTTGCTTAATTAATTTGCATGACGATTAATTATGTTAATAATGATTAATTATTACATAATCAAGTAATCAATTTTATTTAATATAGTTAATAACAATCTTTATTATTATTATTTTTTTCTAATACAGTTGCCTTTATTGACTTTGTAAACAACTGCTTGCAGAAATGAAATGTTTTTCTTATATTCAACAATTGGATGTATTTTTTCTATTGAAGAAGAAGACTTAGAAGTTCTTTGAGAAATTAATGAATAATTGAAATTTATTTCATAAATTTGCTATTTAAATCCTTAAATTATATATATAAACATATGATTAGAATATTATAAGCTTATGTAAATTTTTAATAAATTTTTATTTTTAATTTTTTTTAATATTTAGCATCATAAGCATTGAACATTTAGGCTTTGTTTAGAACATTTTATGACTGATTTCGTGATAAGAAAAATAGTTAACAAGAAAACATATTTGGAAGATAGTTTTTTTTTTGTATTTAAAAAATTGCTTTTGAAAAATCATTTTTGAAACTTTGATTAAGACTTTGTTTGGGACAGCTTTCTTACTGCTTCTTAAAGCAACTTTTTAGTATCAAAAATAAAAATTTTATACTAGAAAGCTGTTTTTAAAAGTAGTAGGAAAGCCGCCCCAAACGAAGCCTAAGACTTTGTTTGGGACAAATTTCTTGTTGCTTCTTAAAGCAACTTTCTAGCATAAAAATTTAATTTTTGTACTAAAAAGCTGCGTTAAGAAGCAACAAAAAAACCGTCGCAAATGAAACCTAGAAATGAGTTCTCAAAAGTAAAAACAGAAAAGCTTAAGTTATCCCAAACAAAATTTTAATATGAGGAGGGAGGATAAGTCAGACCATTCTACACGAAATTATTGAAAAATTGGATTATTGATAAGTTCTTTGAATTTTCAAGGGAAGCCATCATGGTGGAAAAATCTCACATTGACCACACCATTTCATAAATGCCACATGCAGCACTTGATCATATTTTTACAAATATTTCTATGTGAAAAATTGACCAAAAAAAAAAAAAAAAGAATTAGTCATCAAACCAACTCTATAAAATGAGGTATCATGCTTCTATTCTTTTATCAAAGAAATAGAAAAAAAGTTATAAAATTATTTCTATTCAGAACATTTGAAGAGCTAGACATGAAAGGCCAGTACTGTTTCTTCTCCATGCTGGCCATGGGGTTGCTTCTTGGCTTCCTCATTGCAGGTTCGGGTTTCTATGTCTCCAGCTTTCTTTTTGTTGAATTATGTTATTTGATGACAACTGTAATAGCTCAAATTCTTAACCGTCAAGATATTATCTGTTTGGCCTAAAGGACCTCGTGATTTTATCCCGTTGATGTCACCAATCCCAGGATTTTTCTAGGATGAGCACGCTTAACTACGAAGTTTCTTAATGAAATTACAATCATTATACTAAAAGGAACATCGATATTTAAGTGTTTAGCTTATTTTATTTAAGGGAGGTCACCTATCCCAAGATTTTTCTAGGATGAACATGCTTAACTGTGAAATTTCTTGATGAAATTACAACTATTTTATCAAAAAGTGTCTCAATATTTAAGAGTTTAGCTTTTTTTATTTAATTGTTTTCAGTTGTAAACATCAAATTTATCCTTTTCAAACATTTGATTTAACTATCGAGATATTGTTAGCTTTAGCCTAAGAGGTCTCATAGTTTTATTCTGAGGGTGTAACTTTCCTGGAGGTCGTCCATCCCAGGATTTCTGACCTCCAGGATGAATACGCTTAGCTGCGGAGTTTCTTAATGAAATTCTAACCATTACATCAAAAAACACCTCAATTTTTAAGCTTTCATTTTTTTTTAATTTAAAAGGGTCACATATCTCAAGATTTTTCAGAGATGAACAAGCTTAACTATAAAGTTTCTTAATCAAACATGCTTCTGGAGCTGTATGAAGGGCCAATTCATCAGAATCCAAAACTCTTACAATTGTTTTTGATTTCACAGGCGTGGAATCCATTGGAGTCTGCTACGGCAGGGATGGGAATAATCTCCCCTCGGCGAGCGAAGTCATTGATCTCTACAAATCCAATAATATTGGAGGCATTCGACTTTATGACGCCAACAACGACGCCCTCCAAGCGCTCAGAGGCTCTAACATTCCGGTCATCATCGACGTCCCCAACTCCGACGTCTCATCTCTCGCCTCCGACTCCTCGGCAGCCACCACCTGGGTTCAAACCAACATTCAAGCTTTCTCTCAAGACGTCGCTTTCCGCTACATTGCAGTCGGCAACGAGCTCATCCCAGGCTCTCAGGCCCAAAACATCCTCCCTGCAATGCAGAACGTGCAAAACGCCTTACAGGCCGCCGGACTTCAGAACCAGATCAAGGTCTCGACTTCGGTCTCCTTCGGCGTCGTTGGCACCTCCTACCCTCCCTCCTCCGGCGCCTTCTCCTCCGATGCGTCGAGCACTCTGCAACCAATTGTCAGTTTTCTCTCCAGCCATGGCGCCCCTCTCCTCGCCAACGTCTACCCTTACTTCAGCTACGTCGGCGACACCGCCGACATCTCCATTGAATATGCGCTCTTTACTTCTCCTGGAACTGTTGTCACAGATCCGAACAGTCAGTTGAGCTATCAAAATCTCTTTGATGCGCTCATGGATGCACTGTACTCTGCTCTTGAGAGGGCAGGGGGGTCTGGAGTAGCGGTGGTGGTGTCAGAGAGTGGGTGGCCGTCGGACGGCGGGACGGCGGCGACTAATCAGAACGCACAAACGTACGTTTCTAACTTGATCAGCCATGTTGGACACGGGACGCCGAAGAGGCCAGGGAGCATTGAAACCTACATATTCGCCATGTTTGATGAGAATCAGAAGCAGCCGCAGGGGACAGAGAATCACTTCGGGCTTTTTACTCCTGATAAGCAGCCGAAGTACTCCATCTCGTTTTAGGAATATGAAATGCTTGTAAGATTGCCGTTGAATGAATTTATGTGAAAGGTATAGGATAACAGGAAGATTATGTGTAGTTCAAAATAAAGCCATGAGGCGCAGCATGTTATCAAGTGGCATTTGTAATGGATAATAAAGATTTCTACTTTATTTTATTTGATAGGATTTTTTAAGTGATTTTTGGATCTTGCGAATCGTCTTATTGAGGTTATCAATTGCAGAACTTTGATTGTTCATCTTAGCAATTCATGTACTTTGATTATATCAATGGTAGAAATCTGATGTCGGTTGGCTGCCAGGTGGAAGTCCGACGTTGGACGTGGAGTTTGGTGGCAATAGAAATCTCTTCCTTCTCTTTTTGCTTGGATCCCCCCTCATGAGAAATGAGGGGTGTATTTATAGTTTTTTTGATAATGATATGACTAGTAAATAGGAAGAAGATCCCTTGATTATGGACTGTTTATTGGGCATTTGAATGTCTTAATGATATCAGAATTCGACAATCTTGGGCTCATGGATTTGTCTCGTCGAGCCGCTCGATTTGATAGTAAGCCTATCAGGTTTGAAAATAATTTGGTAATTCAAATTATGGGTTGAATCTTCCAAATGTGCTTCGGGTCTTTGATTTGGACCCAATTGAGCTTGGATTGGGTCGAATTTGATGTTGTTGGGTTTGTATTTTCGAGACGTTCAGTTCGGGTATAAGTTTGTTGAATCGGAGTTCAGATAGTCCCAAAATTTAAATTTTGAAATTTCCAACTTGATTTTGCCACTAGATTTGTTTCCTGTCAAGATAATTTTTTTGATGATATATCAATTTTTATTAATTAATTATATATTAATCTATTTTAGTACTCATATTGGATTGTGTAGGCATTTCTAAATACATGCCTTTTTCTACCTTTTTTTTTTTTTGAAATTTTGGGGCCGAAGACCATCTATTGAATATGAAAAAAATTACAAGTAAATAAAATCCTGGCCCTTAACAAAAGCAGGGGAGGATAAGAAGCAAAAACAAAGTTACAAAATAAAAGGAAATAACAACTATACCACCCATAACACCCAAAAGGTAACAAAACTGTGGTATACAAAATTGATCAGGATTCAGTTAGAGCTGCAGTGATATTCGAAAGGGACAATATCATCAGATAGATCATAAAAAAAAAACCCCTGGTTGCCTGAGAAGACCCTCCAAGGGGCAGTGCTACAGCGGTCATCATCGTCCTGCAAAATTTGTCTGAAATAATAAAAAAAAACCAGTCTCCCTGGTTGCCAGGAGGCCATCCAGGACGACACCAGTGATAGAGGAAGCTCACAACCAGACTAGCCAATGCTTCCATAATGATTCCAGAACCAGATAACATGAAGCAGTCCGCGAAAATTTCATAAGCAAAACTTTAGAAGACCAAAACCTCCAGAAACAGATACAGTCAACATAGGAGATGAATAAGATTTCTGCCATTTTTCCACTTCTCCAGCTTAGCAGCTATAGAATTTTTAATTTTCCTACTCACAGTAGTTTGACACTCAATGATGTTGCCAAAACACCTATCATTTCTAGCCCTCCAAATGTTGTCAATAGAAGAGTTGATCACAAGGCAATAAAAATTCAACATCTCATTAGAATCAGAAATATCATCAATAAAGTCATAAATCTGGAGAAGGTTGGGCCGAAACAACAGGGTTTGAGACTGAGGTATAAGGAGGTTCAGGATACCAAAAGAGAAATCACACTCAAAGAAGAGATGTGAATGAGATTCTCTATAATCCTGACAGAAAAAACAGCAACTGTTAACCATAATACCACGTTTAAGTAAATTATCCTCTGTTTTAAGCCCATTTTTAATAGCCAACCAGCCAAAAGAAGAGAACCTGATAGAAGAATGTTTGTACCAAATAAAACGATGCCAGCCCATCACAGTATGATGTTTAAAAAATTCTTTGCTAAAAAGTTTATTCGAAACTTTCACAGAGTTGTTCCATATAGGTCCACAATCAACATTCCAGATAGGCACGGAGGCGGTCATATTTTTAATGTTAGAAGGCCAACACTCAGGGACCTCCCAATTGCCATTTCTTATGATATAAGTAGTAATTTCCTTTTTAACTGATTCCAGCCAGCTACATTTTGCATTTAAATTAGCAAGTTCAGAAATAGATTTGCCAAAGCACCAAGGATCCCAGATTAGGGAAAAGTTGCAGTTTGTGTGAATCCTAAGCTACAAACAATGATTTAGTTGGTGTGCAATATTGCTGAGGTGTTTCCAGAATTGGGAGCTATGCTTTGGGATTGGGGACCAGAGGGAGTTGTACAAATTACGCCAGCAGTCAAATAGCAAACCATTATTGTTTAGAAATCTCCAAATCATAGAGCAGCTAAAGCTAAAAGATAAGGAACCAAGAGAGGGTAACCCAAGACCACCATTAGCTTTGGGAATACAAGTGTCTTTCCAAGCAATTAACAAAAGCTTTCTCACATTAATGTCACGCCCAAAAAGAAATATGGAACATAATTTGTTAATGATTTTTAAACAGTATTTGGGAAGAATTGATCCCCTAATCCAGTAAGCAATAGAGTTGAAAATGGTATATCTCAGAAATTGAATCCTACCACCAAAGGATAGCAGTTAAGCCTTCCAACCCTCCAAAGCTTTAGTAATTTTTGTGATAAGAGGCTGGTAATCAAGATGGGTAAGTTTCTTCAAAAAGATTGGGAGGCCCAGGTATCTTAAAGGTCTCAAGGTTTGTTGAATGTTAAGCATATTGCAGATAGTCTCAGATAGGTGACAATTCTTAGAAAAAAGGATGGAGCTTTTAGAAGGATTGATGTTCAGCCCAGAAGAAGCCGCAAACCTTCCAAGAATAACCTTGAGACAAGCTGCCTCATCAATATTTGCCTTCGATCAGAACACAGGCAAATCATCAGCATATAAAAGGTGGGTAATAGCAGTGTTACCCAAAGAAATGCCAGAAAAAAGCTTGTTGGTTTTTGCTTCTTCAAAACATTCAGAAAGACCGTCCATGACAATAGTAAAGAGATAGGGGGAAAGAGGACATCCCTGTCTCAGGCCGTTAGAAGACCTGAAAAAACCTTCAAGAGAGCCGTTAATGGCAACAGAGAAATGGATATCAAAGATACAGGATTTAATCCAAGAAATGAAAACAGTAGGGAAGCCTTTGGCTTGCATACGATGGAGCAGAAAATCCCTAGAAACCATATCAAAAGCCTTGTTAATGTCAAATTTTGCACAGAAGAATTTTTCCTTAGGATTGGTGTTGAAGTTACCAAGGATTTCTTTTGCAAGAGTAATATTATCAGTAATGATCCTGTGCTTGATGAACCCAGCTTGTGAAGGATGAACAATGTAGGGCATGACTGTTTTTATCCTATTAGCTAGCAATTTGGCAATAATCTTGTAAAAAGAGTTACACAGTGAGATTGGCCTATAATCATTAACAGAAGTGGCGTGAGGATGCTTGGGAATGAGCGCAATAGCAGTGTTCTTAGCTTGTTTTGGCAAAAAGGAGGTGGAGAAAAAGGAAAGCACGACATTGGAAATTTGGTTACCTAAGGTGTTCCAAGTAGCCTTGTAGAAATCAAAGGTGTAACCATCCGGCCCAGGAGCAGCGTGCGAGGGAGAAGAAAAAATCACATTTTTTATCTCCTCAGAAGTAAAGGGGGCAATCAGACCTGCAAGGAAATCAGTAGGAATAACATTCCCAGTAGGAAGGGAAGCAGGGCCAGTGGGTGTAGGACCATTAAAAAGATGTTTGAAGTGATTTATGAAAGCATAGGAGATCTCATCATTAGAGGAGTACATAATACCATCCACTGTAATGCCTCTAATTTGATTGGTGTTATGCCGAATATTGATGTTGGAATACAGAAACTTCAAATCATCTTCACCAGCTTTAAGCCATTTTGCCTTGCTTCTTTGAGTGATCCACTCAACCAATCTAGCTTTAAGAACAGAAAGCTCATAATTAATAGAGTTTAGATTAAAATTAAGGATATGGTTGAGGGGATCAAGTTGAAGACTGGAAGTAACTTTAGACCGAGATTCAGAGAGGTTCTCAAGCTCCTCCTTTAGAGAGTTAGACGAGTTCCACTTCATGAGCTTCAAAGAACTCTTTAACTCTCTAAGTTTATGGTAAAAATCACAAATCGGGCTACCAGACGTAGGAAGAGAGAACACCTCCAAGACATCTTTCCAGAAGGCAGGTAGGGAACACCAGTAATTCTTGAACATAAAACGATGGTTTTTCCTATTGTGAGTATCCATATGAAGAATGATAGGGAAATGATCAGAGATGTCAGGATCACTAACAATGTAATCAGAGTTTGGGTAGGTAGATAGCCAAGCCTCGTTGACAAAAACTCTATCCAACTTAATATAGATTGGATTATCCACTCTCTGGTTAAACCAGGTATAGTAATGGCCAATCGAATCCAAATCCGCAACCTTTGCATTAAAGACAAAATTGTTAAGCTATCCCAGCTTACTATGAGAAAGAGGTAACCCTCCAGCTTTATCAGAAGTGAACTTACAACAGTTGAAGTCCCCTAAAATGGCCCAGGGGAGAGGAGTGTTGCCAACAAGGTTAGTGACATTATTCCAGAGTGATTGCCTATCCACAATTGAGTTTGAAGCATAGATGGCAGAAATACAACAAACATCCTGATTCCCGACCTGAATCACCCCATGAATAACCTGGCTAGAAGTGAACAAAGGTCTAAATGAAACCTTTTGGGCATTCCACTTGATCCAAATACGCCCAGGAGAAGAGTAAGAGAAGTTGTCATATCTCCCCTCAACCGGAAAAACCGAATGAGAAGAATTAAATCAGTCATCAGAGACTGAAGAAGCAGAAACCTTAGCTTCCAGAATAATCAGCATATCTAAATTAAATTTAGAAATCAAAGATTTGCAAGACAAAACTTTGGAGGCATTTTTGAACCTTCCAAAACGTGAAAAAAAAAAAAACATTCAAAGCTTCTCTTCCATTATCTTTCATTTTCAGATCTTTTCTGTCAAACATTTATGATCGATGGCTGACATGTTCATCAAAATCACTAACATTGAATGCATCAATTAGTACACTAACATTGTAATGATTATACAATTTACTATAATATCTAGTGATTATGATTCTTCATCGGATTAGCTAAAACTAATTATGATATAATAAGAAATTGGGTGAGATATTGATATATTGTAATAAGTTTTTTTTAAGTGCATTTATTAATCTTTAACAATATATTCAACTTCGATTATAAGGATTATCTTTATGGAATTAGATAGTTAAGATTCTTAACTGTACTATGAATTTAAGGCTTATTTTAGGACGATTTTTTTCTGCTTCTTAAAGTAGCTTTTTAGTACACAATTAAAAAGCAGTCTCAAACGAAGCCTAAGTTTACTATGAAATTTAGGGTTTAGAGTTAGCTTTTACCTTTTATTAGTCCTAAAATTTCACTTAATTCTCCTTTTTTATGTAATAAAATGCAATTTATACTATTAATTGTATAATTATATAGTAATTGCTTTAAAATAGTTTATTAGTGTAACTTAATTAGAAGTTTCTTAAGTATGTCTCCACAGGATGCATCTTCCATTGAAGACAAAAAAGTTGGAATCATGACTTTGTGAAAGGCTTTCTGAGCATATCGAAATGTTGATCATTAGTGGAGACAAGGGAGAATATGAGGAAACCATCACCTAACTCATCATTAATAAAGTGGTGGTTAAGTTGGGTGTAATTTCTTTTGCAAAAAATAGGTCGGATTCAAGTTGACTCGAATAGTATCAGATCAGTTTCGGGTTCGATCCGAACCCGGCCCGTGACATGAAATTGACACCCCATAATATTTGACTTCCATAGAGGATCAAACAATATTGCTTTGCTTTGTAGAAAGAACACCATGAAATGGGATTTAATCCTAAGAGATGATATATGATGAGATGGGGGGGTAGGGGGGGTGAAGTCATAATGATTTAAAGCCCAATCAATATTTAGATTATGCAGTGAGAGTGAGAGATGGATATTGACATAGTAGCAATCAGTGTGATATGAAATTCTTGAGATTTAGTAAAATTTTCAATTTTGTGTGTAATTGAAAAGAGTAATGAATATTTAATGTAGTAATTTATGAAAATAACATAACATCAAAGATCATTCATTGAATCTATTCGAGATGGACCCCAAACATCATAATACACTAAATCTAGTGAATGATAACAAGAAGCTAAATCTCGTAACGGGGCTAATGAATTCATCGGTTACGAAGTTGGTGGGTAGAATCAAGTCAAAAGAGAGGCAATATTTGCACAAATTGAAGACAAAGAAAATTTTGTATTATGAACATTCCATTGAAGGGATTATTTGCATGATTACAAGCTATTAGAGACTTGTATTTACGAAAGAAACTAATAAAAGCTATCATTTAATGCAAAATATGCAATTAATTATATTATTATACAGTAAACACATTTAACATGATTTATTTTCTTGTATTTTTATAGTGTTTTTCAATAGGAATCAAATTATGATGAAAAAAATAATGAGGACTTAGTCAAATTTTTCTGAAGTTTCTGTCTACTCTATATAATCAGGTAGCCTGTTGCTACTCTTTTATCAAAGAGAAAAGAAAAGTTATTTCTGAGATTTTTTTTTTTCAAGAACTAGTAGGCATGACAAGCTACTGTTTCTTCTCCATTGCTATCATAGGGCTGCTTCTCAGCTTCCTCACTGCTGGTTCGAGTTTCTTCTCCTTCTCTCTTATGTTAGTTGATGATAAATAAATATGTTGCTCATAAGTATAAAACTATGAGCCGTAAGGGTTCGTTTGGAACGACTTTCTCACTGTTTTGTCAATTGTTTTTTTTTTTTCCACTTTTGTCAATAATTTTTTATGCTAGGAAGGTGCTTTCTATGATTGCATTAAGAAAATATGTTTTTTAGCCGTAAGGGTTCGTTTTGATATGAAAATGAACTAAGAGTGGTATGTATGTAATATTAAAATTTTAGGTGTTAAATATGTAAATAGAGTATTATATGGTGGTATGTATGTAAATCTCCCTTTTTTTTGGGAAATTTACATACATACCACTTTATATCATCATATTTATATATCTAACACCCAAAACTTTAATATTACATACATACCACTTTATATTATTTTAATATCAAACATGCCACTCATATTTCCTTCAAATTACTCATATATTTCATTTTTATCACTCATATTTGATATGAAAATGAACTAAGAGTGGTATGTATGTAATATTAAAATTTTAGGTGTTAAATATGTAAATAGAGTATTATATGGTGGTATGTATGTAAATCTTCCTTTTTTTTGGGAAATTTACATACATACCACTTTATATCATCATATTTACATATCTAACACTCAAAACTTTAATATTACATACATACAACTTTATATTATTTTAATATCAAACATGTCACTCATATTTCCTTCAAACCACTCATATATTTCATTTTTTCCACTCATATTTGATATGAAAATGAACTAAGAGTGATATGTATGTAATATTAAAATTTTAGGTGTTAAATATGTAAATAGAGTATTATATGGTGGTATGTATGTAAATCTCCATTTCTTTTGGATAAAATTCACGGAGGTGCCTACAAGTTAATATAAAATGCAAAACAAGGTCTTTAAGGGAAACCTTCAGTTCACTACCGCTCTAAAGAGCTACAAAACAAATCCAAAATAATATTACCTACAAGCCGATCGAAAAGTCCTCTCTAGAAAAAAAATTACAGGAAAACCTAGAAACTTGCTACGTCGGCTAGGAGCCAGCACCCAAACAAGAAAGATCCAGATAAAAGCAATCAACACCATCTTTCTCGCTAAAAAATTCAGCTTGCAACCAGCATCAACAAGCCAAAAAAACCTGAAGACAGGGAAAACTACAAACAAAAACGGGCACAAAGAAAATAGTATTGAGATTAGCAATCAATTTAAAAAGAATGTACATATCATAACATATATGATCAGAAAAACTAAGAAGCCAGATATGAAGAAAAATGACACCAATGAACATCATCTTCTCCTTTCTACAAGCGCTATACAAAGGATATCGACAGCCAACCCAGAAATCATACACTGGTTACAACAATCTTTATTAAAAGCTGCAGCTGTCCAAACGATTCCTAAATAACATTTACTTCTTTTTTTACATACTAAAATTATAGAATCTCAATCAATAAAAACTGACTTTTTCTTCAGGGGTTGAATCTATTGGTGTTTGCTATGGCATGAACGGCGACCATCTTCCTCCACCAAGTGAAGTCATTGATCTCTACCAATCTTCTAATATTGAAAGGATTAGACTTTACGACCCCAACCAAGAGGCATTGGAAGCCCTTAAATGCTCTGGCATTGCTGTCCTTCTCGGCATTCCCAACTCCGATTTATATTCTCTCGCTAATGATTCCTCTGCAGCCTCCACTTGGATTCAAAACAATATCCAATCTTTCTCATCAGAAGTCCATTTCCGCTATATAGCCGTTGGAAACGAGCTCATCCCTGACTGTGAAGCCCAATATATCCTCCCTGCAATGCAGAACTTGCAGAACGCCTTACAGTTCGCCGGCCTTCAAGATCAGATCAAGGTCTCCACAGCAGTCTCCATGGGCGTTCTTGCCACCTCCTACCCTCCCTCAACTGGCGCCTTCTCCTCTGATGTCATCGACATTCTCCAACCAATTATCAGCTTTCTCGCCATTAATGGCGCCCCTCTGCTCGCGAACATCTACCCTTACTTCAGCTACGTTGATGACACACAAGATATCTCCATCGAATACGCGCTCTTCACTTCTCCTGGAACGGTGGTCACAGATCCCAACAGTCAGTTGAGTTATCAAAATCTCTTCGACGCGTCCCTTGATGCGCTCTACTCGGCGCTGGAGAAGGCGGGTGGCGCAGATGTTGCGGTGGTGGTGTCGGAGACTGGCTGGCCGTCAGATGGAGGGACGGCGGCGACGGCGGAGAATGCACAAACGTATATCTCGAATCTGGTTCACCATGTTGGGCAGGGGACGCCCAAAAGGCCGGGGTGGATTGAAGCTTACATATTTGCCATGTTTGATGAGAATCAGAAGCAGCCGCAGGGGATACAGAATCACTTTGGGCTGTTTACTGCTGATAAGCAGCCTAAGTACACTATCATGTCTTACAAATAGATGCCAATGCTTCTTCTTGAAAGAATAAGTTATGTGGGGTTTTTTTAATAATTTATAAGATTTTCTTTGTGGAATTTATATATGTAAGGGAATATTATTTGAGAGGGATAAGACATAGGATTAATTATATGTAATCCATAATAAGGGCGTAAATGAGTTGAGCTGAGCTAGCTCACAGGCACAGCACATATGAAAGACTTGAATATTTAAGCAAATTAAGACAAATTCATACACATAACACATATGCAAGACTCGAGCTTAGACTTCTTAGTTGCTAGCTAAATCTCTCAACCAACATATCAACTAATGCTGCCCGAGATTGAATAATTAATAGAGTTTGAGCTAGACCTTGAGCTTAATTCTATGTGTTCAAGTCACTTCATAAAATGCTCATATGGTATAGAAGAGAGATTATCATTTTTATTTAAGCAGCTATTATGATAAAATGATAAAGTATAAGATATTATATTAGAAATAATAAGGTTTCATTTAACATAAGAAAGAGTAATATAATTTTAAAATATTCATGCCATTAATTTGTACGATATTCATTGTAATTAGCCGACAATAATTGTATCATCGATTATTCTTTATGTCAAAGTTGTATGTCCACACATGCTCATATATGTAAGTTATAAATATGTTGAAATGTTTCTGTCCCTGAGGATGGTCTTGGAGGGACCCTTGCTCAAGGCAATGCTTGCCAAGCAATGCACAAGCATTGCCTTGGGGGATAGTCGTCAGTACCAGTCTACGAGCAAGTAGTTATCCAACCCAACAAAGCTCGCAACACCTGATTTTGACTATCGAGGATCAGATTAAGGATGCACTCAACTGGCGAGTTCGTCTTTAGTTCTGCCCATAGTTATGGCTTTATTTTATGAATTTAGTTGAATGTTTTTCATATTTATTTCATAGTTTTAATTTTTAAATATATACTAATATTATCTCTAATATATTATCATATTCAATAGTCTTAAAAAAAAATTAAATCTCATGAATGTGTAGCATATGTCATTTCATGTATTCTTAATTAGAAAGAGATATTAATGGTTTAGGCAAATAAGACATTGAAAACGATGAAAAGAAAAAGGTACCTCTTTTTTATTTATATAATATAGCGAGCAATAAAAATAAAACATATGTTGAGCATAGCTCAACAATATGAGGTATGCATTCCCATAATTACAATAGGAATCAAGTTTATTTATTTGAAGTACACATAAAGATAAAATGAGAAGAAATTCATGAGATATAAGAGTTTTTACATTAAAATTTTTAAAAAGAAAAAAAATTATAAGATCTGATTCAATTGAAATAATACATACATTATATATTTGAAGTTTTAGAAGTCCGTTGCTCTCTACAGGCATGTAAGATTTAGGCTTCGTTTGGAATGACTTTCTTACTATTTTTTAAAGCAGTTTTTTAGTACAAAAATTTAAATATTTGTACTAAAAATTTGCTTTAAAAAGCATTATGAAAGCCCTCCCAAATGAAGCCTTAGAGATCATTTGGTCTTTTAATTAATATCATGAAACTTTTAGACATTTTTCAAGTGTTTAATTTATCTTCATTTGGACTCATATTTGATTATCTTTTGTTTCATTGAATTTTTTTATCAAGATGTTTTATTTGGGGCATATAGAATAATGCATCAAACTTTATGTTGGTCAAGTAAAATTTTTAGAGACATTGTTCATCCCTAATTTTAGATTTTGAAACTTATGTAATTCAAAAATAGAATTAATGAAAGTTTTTTGGGGCAATTTTTTGATCTATTTTCCTATTGGAGCACTTTTCAAAAGATTATAGATTTATTTGATAATTTCTTTCAATTATCTTGTTTGTTAGAAAATTATTCGATTATAATATATTTTCTTGTAATTATAAGTGTACTTTTAATTTGTGTTAATTTTTTTAAAGAAAATCAGTTTGAAAAATATTAACCAATTAATATTAACTAAACTTAGGCTTCATTTGTACAATTTTTTTACTATTTTTTAAAATAACTTTTTAATACAAAATATCCTAAACCCTAAAAAAAATGATATTAAAAATTTGCTTTAAAAATAGTAATAAACCAGTCTCAAAGTAAGGAAGCCTTAATTATTTTGTTAGTTTACAAATTTAGGGTTGTTTTGGACAGCTTTCTTAATGCTTTATTTTTTCATACATCAACTATAATTTTATTTGACTACTATTTTTTATTAATTAAAAAAAATTATATAATGGTAATTTACTTCTTCCAATCCGAATATATAGTTAAATTATTTTCCCCGTCAATCATTTTATAACCAATTTTATTAAATATTGTAGTAGTCTCAAACAAATATTAATGGGTGTCAATAAATGACCTGACTTGAACCCAACCCAAAAACTTTGGGTTCATGTTGACATTTTAATAAACAAGTTAGATCAGGTATTGCATTCTGATTCGAAAAACGAAAATATGTGTATTTCTAATAGATTATTGATTAGAATTTACTTCTTAAGACTTCTTATCTTTACACTCATATTAATCTGAGGGGCTATTTGATCGAATAAAAAATGAACACAAAGCTGGAGCAAATGAAATGTAATGTAAAGTAAAATTATATAGCATTTTGAAAATATTTTTAAAATTATTTAATTGAGTAAACTGAAAGTATGAGAGTTCTTATTATTATTATTATTATTTGAAGTAAGAAAATAGAAAGAATAAAAAACAATGTATTTGAAATAATAGTTGATCATAGATGGCTAATAGCAAGGGTGGTGGCCGATGACAGGAGGAGTGGCGGCGGCGACTAGCTAGCTGGGGATGTGGCGGTATCGCTTTTACCCAAGCTATGTATTTGTAACTTCCTCAAAGTGGACGAATTTCATATACACTCAAAATGAAGTAAATGCGTCGAAAAATATCCCAAATTTTCAATACCCTAGCTAGGTTTACTTCTTGTGTTTACAATGGTGAAAAATACATGTATATGATATTGAAACGCCTGATTAGAAAGAAATATTTATATGTTTGATATTAGCTCCAAATTTAAGCTCATGTCTGGAAGATATAGCAACAAATTAAATTATTAAAAACTATTGTTCATGGAGTCCTCAAAACTTAATGGCACTAAAATATATTTTTAATTTTGATACTGAGAATATAGTGTGAAAAAGATAACAGGAAAGTAGAAAGAGATAGAAGAGTGTTTGAGTAAAAAGCCCATAGATTTTTATAAAATATGCTCAATCATAAAATATTGTGTAAAATGAGTTCACTCTTCATTCATTTATTTGTATATTTAGGTTGGAGCTTGAGCTTATAGAATTGGCTACACATATAGTGAAATAAATAATAAGAGAAAATACAAGAATTGTCTAACCTAGTTAGAAGAGTTGATTTGAAAAGTCATCTACCGAGTTTTAAAGAAGCCGTAGACTTGGCTTATATTAATAGTCAAGTAGTGGAGCATCAAATTAATATCTTGTATTGAGATCCTTCATTGAGTCATCACCGGGGTTGATTTCATAGATACCAAATGTTATAGTAAAGTAATACGATTTACTTGTTGATTAAGATGAACTCTTGAATCACAATCTCCTACTTGAGGTGAGTTTTGTTAAGGAAGAATGCAACACACCGGCCTCCACTCATTCTAAACAGCAACGACTCCCTGCATCTGCAGCTGATACCGCCAAACTGGCTCTAGCAACAGCCAGCTTTATGTAACCATCAAAGGGCAAACTAGTCTTTTTCTTACTTTCTCTTATCTTCAACATGTCTATATAATTATTTGAATTGCTACAGTAAAGTTTACCGTTTGGAGTTCATTTGCCTGCTTGATCTTCTTCCTGAGCTTATGTCTCTAATGAAGTTTTTGCTAGATCATAGCTTACAGTTTATCATGGTATCAGAGCGGCAACTTTCTTTCCCCATCTCTTCTCTGGTATGGGGGACTCAACGGCGGCCTCTGCTCCTTCCACTTCCCCGGCTGAGATTCATGAGAACCGGTCGAATGCCGAGGTCGTCATCCCACCTACCCTTAAATTTCTGCTCTCTAACATCAAGAATGTGTTCAACATTCAGCTCTTGCCGGATAATTATCTGACTTGGTGTTCAGCCATTCAAAAACTATTTGCTGCTAACAGTTTTTTAGGATATCTCGATGGCACCCAACCCTCTCCTCCCAAACATCTGCTAACTGCCACTGGACAGCTCGTTTTGAATCAACAGTTCTCTTCTTGGTCCCTGGTAGACCAAAACCTGTCTGTCGCCCTGTTTTCAACTATCTCATCTTCCATACTTCCCTATGTCTTAAACTTAGACACCACTGCCTCCATTTGGAAAACTCTTGAGCAGCGTTTCTTCTCCACAAATAGATCTCGCGTGATCCAATTAAAAAACGAGCTGCATTCCCTCTCTATGCACAATAAAACCATGACAGAATATTTAGCCTCTGTCAAAGTGCTGGTGGATAACATTAATGTTGCCGGTGGTTCTGTTGATAGTGAGGATGTATTACACTATATCTTAAATGGTTTACCACCCACCTATCAGTCGTTCAAAACATTCATCTGCTCATCACTTCAGCCAATCAGTCTGGACAACCTATATTCTCTGCTTCGCAGCACAGAAGTCCATCAAACTACCAATGCAGTAAAAGACTTGTCGTTCGCATCGCCGGCAGCCTCCTCCGACCCAACTATAGCTTTGTTCACAAACCGCGGATGCGGTCGAGGACGATTCAATTCCTCTAGAGGGCGAGGCCGTAACTCCAGTTTCAATCGTTCTCCATGCACACCACGTTTCGATGGACACTGTCAAATTTATGGTAAACCCGGCCATTTAGCTGTCACTTGCTGGCATCGCGGAAATTTTCAGTACAGCTCTCCTACTTCCTCCACTGATGTAGCTCTTTTGGCAAACAACTCCAATGCAGATATTACCTCCTGGTACTTAGATAGCGGTGCTACCACTCATCTTTCTCCAGACTTATTACCTTATCAACAACCATATACTG